AGGTTTCTGGCCTTTACCTTCTGTATTTGATACAATGTTGCGGTCCGGCTGGCTGAAGCCCGGCTGACTGAAAGCCGGTTTCTGGGGTTTTGTTTAGCTTCTATATTTGCAACATAGTTGCTTAGAGTTGCAGCTGAGAGGCCGGCAAGTCAGGCGGGGAACATTGGAGTCAGCAGTCACTGGAGCAAGCAAGCCTCCCTGTTCGCTTCAGTGCATGGCTGCCAGCCGCCATCTTGGCTGGCAGTTAATTTGCATATTGCCCTGATTAGCCAATGGGAAGGGTAGCGGTCGTACGCTAATTACCATGTTTCTCTTTTATTAGTGTAGATGGCCAAAATATCCTCTGCCATCTAATTCTTAGGACCCATAAATCCTAAGTTTTTTGTAAATATAAGGCTTTTCTTTTTTTTATGTGAGAATGCCAGTTTACTAATTTATAAAGAGATATTTAGTTATCAAATGTTTTCATTACATTTCTCCCTAAAGTCAATTTACATAGGACCCCAGATCATGACCCCACACAGCTTTAATTTACCGTGAGAAAGTAGGGACCACAGCATCTGATATGTGTGTGACCAGGCAGGCCTTTATCTGTTTGTAAAACCAGATCACAATCAGAGGGTTGGTTTTTAAGTTTGAAAACTTTCTCAGAGAAACTAGTGGACAAGTGATACCCTACAAGCATCCCTTTCAGAGCCAGGATGAGAAGTGTAGACTTTATGCTCCAGGGTTGAACTCAGAGCCTCTGAGCATAGAGGGCATCCCATCGTGTTTTGGGCGTGTGCCAGCATTGGTCCTCTCATGCCTTCGTTCGTTTGTTTTAAATAATTAACTGATCAAGCCAGACAAATATTTGTGTGCCTCCTGTGTACCGGGCCCTGGGAGTAATGTATAAAACACATCTGCTCTCTGACTCACGGAGCTTACCATTTGGTTAGGGAGGGATCGCTAATAAACAAGCAAACAACAAATAACGATAGTCCCAATAGGGTGGAGAAGGAAATACACAAGGTTACATTGTCAGGAAAAATAAAAGGGTGATGATGGAAGATGTTTCTGAGAAGTTGACGTCTGAGCTGCGTGTGTAGGAAGTTGTGCTGAGGGTATAGGGAGGCAGGTCTGTGTAGAACAGTGGTTCCCAAACTTATTTGGCCTACCGCCCTCTTTCCAGAAAAAATATTACTCAGCGCCCCCTGGAAATTAATTTTTTTAAAATTTTAATAGCAATTAAACAGAAAGATATATGTATTAATGTTTCTACCTTTTTCGTAAAATATAGTAAAGAAAGGTGTAAATTAGAAACATTGAAGTTTGAAATTATGAAACTATTTATTGAACTCAGAATAGAAAGGTAATACAAAAAAAGTTAAAACAAATGCACCTGTGGCCATCACCGCCCCCCTGGATCGCTGCAGCGCCCACCAGGGGGCGGTAGCGCTCACTTTGGGAATCACTGGTGTAGAAGAAAGTACAGTCCAGGCTGAGGGCTCAGTATGTGCAAAGGCCTCAGGAGTGAAACAAATACCTTGGCACACTTAGTAAATGAAGGCCGTGTGGCTGGAGCCAGCGAGGTTTGTCATTTTTCTAGGGGTGGGGCTTCTGAATCCTCCAGGCTATGAGGCCTGGGGAAAGGTGAAGATACATTAAAACTTACACTGAATTGAGGAGTTTTCAGTTACTGTAGAAA